GTGTGTGTGTGTGTGTGTGTGTGTGTGTGTGTGTGTGTGTGTGTGTGAGAGAGAGTCACTCTCAATTATTAATGCTCGCCCCCCCCCCCCCCCCCGGTTCCTTTGTTCTCCACACCGCTCTTTGTCGGATGTATTTCTATTGTTCCTTGTCCTCCTCTTCCTCATCTAATCTTCATCAGTAATTATCCCCTCAGCACCTCCGTGAGCTTCATTTGCATATTGGTCAACCTGCTGGGGACAAAACCAGAGACAGGCCAAGACAGGAGGTTCCAGTGGACTGCAGGACTCGTCCCCAGAACTCTGGACGTCTGTCTCCCGTGGACATTGTCCCAGGAACTACAATGAAGCAGCTTGTTTCACACTTTGTGTTGTGGAACATCAGAGACATGTCTATTGTTTTTATTGTCCCTCTTTAAGGTCGGTCCTGTCCAGGGTTCCAGAGGACAATTTCTAGAAACTGCAGGGAACTCTAGAGAAGAGTTTGGAAAATAAATTAGAAACTTTCCATTAGAATTATGGAAATCAGCTGGAACATGGGCGATAATCAAAAACTGAACCAAATGTCCCTCCAAAATGTCCTTGCATGCCCCTGCATGTCCCGTCCATCCCATCTGTCCCTACATGTCCCAACTAGTCCTACATATCCATTTGTGTCCCATCGGTTTCTCAGTGTCCCATGTGTCCTATCTATCCCTATGTGTCCCTACAGGTCCCACATGTCCCTATGTGTCCCACATGTCCCATTTGTCTCACATGTCCCATCTATCCATATGTGTCCCTACAGGTCCCACCTGTCCCTACATGTCCCACATGCCCATGTGTGTCCCACATGTCTCATATGCCCCTACATATCCCATAGGTCCCTATGTGTCCCACCTGTCCCTATGCATTACACATGCCCCATATGTCCCTGTGTCCCACATGTCCCACCTGTCCCTATGTGTCCCACATGTCCCTACATGTCCCACCTGTCCCTATGTGTCCCACAGGTACCTCTCGCTGCAGTGAAATCTGGTTCTTGTAGTCAGGTTGTGCTGAAATAATTTTCCAGGACTGTATTTAAAATCCTCGTTGAAGAGCGACCTTCAGTCTTTAACGTCCTGGAACTGTTGAACTCACTGAACTTTATCTCAGCGTCTGTAAATTTATGTTTGGTTATTTTGTGTCGAGCGATTAGTTTCAGTGTTTTTACCGTAACGATCAGAACACAAGCTCACGCCACGTTTGTGGCTCAAAGAGGAGGAGCAGAGAAACCGAACGTATGTTGGGGGAGGTGGAGGAGACGAAGAGGGTGGTGGGTCATATTTCTGACGTCTCCGGTGTCGGGTCCATCACTGACATGTGACCCCTGGTTCTCCGGACCTGGGGGTGAGCAGTACCTGACCAGGCTGAGGTGACAGCTGATCACCGTGAAGAAACATGGTGACCTTGGAGTCACACCTCGGTCTTCCTGAGACTCGTGAACCTGCTCCTGTTTCCAGGTGTCAAAACTTCTGACCCCGCTGCTGCTGACACTCAGAAGTCCACTCCGAGGGAAAATCCTGTCCGACCAAACCAGGGACAATCAGGATCCCCCAAAATCCTGACTGAGGGTTTAACCACTGATCCACTGAACCGGAAACTTCAGAACTTTTAAAGTGGACTCTGTGAGAAAGTTATGAACAATTTAGCTTATTTTGGACTGAAGAGTCAAGAGGTCGAAGGTAAAAACCTGTCTGAGGTTAAACCCGTCTAAGGTATAACCAGGAGGACATAAAACCCAAATGAGGTAAAACCCAAAGGGTTTCTTCAGGTCTCTGTGTAACGGTCATGACTTAATGGAACAGACGAACAGAACTGAGTTAACGAGCTCAACTGGATTACCTGTGACCACCTCAGCCCTCCTGAACTGGTCTTTAATCCAGTTTGGTTCTGCAGGTTCTCCTCAAACACGGTCCAATATAATAATGGTTCTGTCATGGTTCAATACGTAAACTGATGCTGATTTATAGACGGAATGTCACCGAGCTTCAGAGGTGAGCGGTCCGTTACCTCGCTACGTAAATCATCCGTTAAGTTCTCCAGAACCTTTTTAATGGGTCATTTACTCTGGTTAAATGGTCAAGAAGCTTGGACTCCATTTTGATAATCTCATTAATCTGGTACAATCTAGTTGCCATGTGAGTGGATTAGGTCGACCTGCATTTCCAGCTGGAACAAGGTCTAAGGGATTTAATATACAGTATGTGTATATTAAATTAACTAAAGATTTGTATATATATATAACGGACCGCT